GTTCCTGTGTGCGTAGGTAATACTCGTTCCTCTAGTCCTGATAATCAGTTCTGTGTGCGTGGTTATAATCGTTCCTCTAGTCCTGATAATCAGTTTCTGTTGTGCGTGATTAATAATCAGTTTCCTCTAGTCCTGATAATCAGTTTCTGTTGTGCGTGGTTAATAATCAGTTTCCTCTAGTCCTGATAATCAGTTTCTGTTGTGCGTGGTTAATAATCAGTTTCCTCTAGTCCTGAAACTACCAAAAAAAACAATGAATATTCCCAGCTAGGAGTTACCAAATGTTTGAGGTCAGATTTATTATTATTTTTTTTTATTTTACAAAATATATAATTTATATATTGCTGGCCCTATAGTAATCCTAATAGAGGTTAATGCTATTGTATTCTACTTCAAAACGGTATAAATACACATTCCCTTCTGTTTTACATTTATATCTATGAATTAATTTAAATCGTTATAACGTAAATGGCGGTATTCTTTGTAGTACTTAGTAATAAACTTACTAGTTGTTGTCTTGTCTACTATTTCTTTTGTTTCCACCACAATGGAAAAAATAAGAGTGCTACAGAGTACTTCAAATAAACCAGAAAAATCATTTATCTGTCAAATGTTTTTTGTTGTTTTTTTTTGCGACCAACAACTGTTTGCTTACCTTGAATTACTTCTCCGAAATCCTTATATTGCTACACATTAAAAACAAAACTATCTATTTGAATACTAATGTCCTGTGAACCAGGATTTCACCACACAGGCTTGGTTTTATAAACTTCAAAAGTTAGGTGACAGTCGAACCAGTTAAACGTCCTTCTTGCAAACCCTTGTATTTGATTTTTTTCATTAAACACGATTTTAAACGTGTTACACCCATCAAGTTGCACGTTTCTCACACACCCACGTACTCGTAGATTGCTAAGGTCAATCCCACCATTAGATTTCGTCCAAAATACAGTTTATTTATTCTTGCTTTTGCAAGTGCCTGATACATATAAATTCAAATACAAGTTTTATATTTATAGTAATGTAAGGGGAAACATAATAAAATATAAAGTTGTACTTATTTAGTTTTTCCTTCGTTTTTTCACTTACACCTAATTTGTATCTCTACGCTGCTGAACATATACCAATAAAAATTATTTTGTTTGAAAGCATTTAAATTTACTTTCGCAAATTTGTATTGAACCATTACGCTTACATTTCCTTTCAACTTCACGATTACGCTTACATTTCCTTTCAACTTCACGATTACGCTAACATTTCCTTTCAACTTCACGATTACGCTAACATTTCCTTTCAACTTCACGATTACGCTAACATTTCTTTTCAACTTCACCATTACGCTTACATTTCCTTTCAACTTCACTGGTTATGAAAGATGCTCAATAACAAATAACTGAAGTAGCTTAACTAAGTTATTATATGAGCGCGGACTGCAAACTAGCGTTTTAGCTACTTGTGCGGCCCGGCGTGGCCAGGTGGTTAGAGCGCTCAACTCGCAATCTGCGGGTCGAGAGTTCGAATCCCCGTCTCACCAAATACGCTCGCGCCTTCAGCCGTGAGGGGCGTTATAACATGACGGTCAATCCAACTATTCGTTGGTAAAAGAGTAGCCTAAGAGTTGGCGGTGGGTAGTGATGATTAGCTGCCTTCCCTCTAATCTTTCACTGCTAAATTAGAGACGGCTAGCGCAGATAGCCCTCGTGTAGCTTTGCTCGAAATTCAAAACAAACAACTTGTGAATTCCATTTGTTTTCAACCACTTATCTTCTTAGGTAACTGTTAGGTCTACTATGGAACCTGTTTTGGAAATATTTTCAATCTAAAGGCGGAAATACTATAATTAATTTTAAGAATGCCTTGATTACGTTCCACATTGATATCTAACCGATGTAGTCAACTATATTACTCCACTCCAGCCCCATCTCAAATATGAGCATCAATAACAATGGGGATCCGGTACTTTTTCTTCTTGAATTTAAGCCCAGCTTTCAGGATTATTAAAAAAGTGTGATGAATACAACTTCATTAAATCATTGTTTATGACAGTGCTTGTTAGATTTTTATTGTTTGTATATTAATCATAGTTTATGATAGTCCTTGTTAGATTTTTATTAATCATAGTTTATGACAGTCCTTCTTAGATTTTTATTAATCATAGTTTATGACAGTCCTTGTTCCAAATTGATATCTAACTGATGTAGTCAACTATATTACTCCACTCCAGCCCCATCTCAAATATGAGCATCAATAACAATGGGGATCCGGTACTTTTTCTTCTTGAATTTAAGCCCAGCTTTCAGGATTATTAAAAAATGTGATGAATACAACTTCATTAAATCATTGTTTATGACAGTGCTTGTTAGACTTTTATTGTTTGTATATTAATCATAATTTATGACAGTCCTTGTTAGATTTTTATTAATCATAGTTTATGACAGTCCTTGTTAGATTTTTATTGTTTGTATATTATTTATTGAGAATTGACTATAAAGTTGAGAAAAAAATATCAGATTTGGCAAATTTATGGTAGATTAATATAGGTTTGATACGGTTTTGATGAGTTCTGGGAGATTTAACGAACTTAAATAATATGTTAAGATAAGTTCGGTAAGGTTGTGATGGATTGTATGAAGTTTGGAACGATATTTTATGAGTTTGCTTAAATTTAGTAAGGTCGTTTTTAATTTGTCACGGTTCTTTTATGAACTTTAATAGATTGGTTTTAAGTCCAAATTAAACGTTAATATTATGGAATAAGTCTTTCTTTTTGTTTGTTTGTTTATATCTTATTTAGAATCTAAAGTAAACCAAAGCAACGGAACTCCTCATCTTGTGACAATGCAATCAGGACCAGAAAGTTTGAAGCACTTTATCGGTTACAACAGTACCCAGCCTCTTAAACATCTTCCTCTTGAAACCAGCCTGACGGTTACACCACCTCTTCAACATTCGGTGAGTTCAAAGTTCTTCCATATCTGAAAGAATTCGACAGAAAACATCTTCCTGTTGATATCAGCCTAATAATGACATCACCACTTTAACAAACATGACATTAGCCTAATAATGACATCACCACTTTAACAAACATGACATCAGCCTAATAATGACATCACCACTTTAACAAACATGATATCAGCCTAATAATGACATCACTACTTTAACAAACGTGATATCAGCCTAATAATGACATCACCACTTTAACAAACATGATATCAGCCTAATAATGACATCACCACTTTAACAAACATGACATCAGCCTAATAATGACATCACCACTTTAACAAACATGACACCAGCCTGATAATAACATTAGCACCTTAACAAACATGATATCAGCCTAATAATGACATCACCACTTTAACAAACATGACACCAGCCTGATAATAACATTAGCACCTTAACAAACATGATATCGGCCTAATAATGACATCACCACTTTAACAAACATGACACCAGCCTGATAATAACATTAGCACCTTAACAAACATGATATCAGCCTAATAATGACATCACCACTTTAACAAACATGACACCAGCCTGATAATAACATTAGCACCTTAACAAACATGATATCGGCCTAAT